CACTCCCGCATCAGCATGTACCTGGATGGGGGCGGGGAGGGGACATTAGCGGCGTCTTGCTGTACCCCCTGCCCACCCTGCCTGGCCCATACTCACAGCTCATGGGTGCAGTTGGACGGCCGGTCCATGCGGTGCCCCTCCTTCAGCAGCTTGAAGAGCTCCTCAACAGGGATGCCCGGGTAGGGAGAGCCCCCCAGCGTGAAGATCTCCCACATCAGGATCCCAAAGGACCACCTGGGATCATGCATGGCAAAGTGTGGTCAGGACCATTCCCGGGCTAGAGGGCCCCCAGCTCACCCCACCGCACCCATGGGAGAAGGTGGGATCACTACTGGGGAAGACGTGCCCTGCTGCCACTGTCCCCATGGCATATCCCCATCCTACTCATGAAAACTCTCTGGTCTGTGCATAACCCCGTGGTGCTGCCTCATCCCACCCCCAAGAGCACCGTCCGCCCCATGGTCTCATCACTCACACATCGCTCTGGTGGGTGTAGACACGGTCAAAGAGGGCCTCTGGTGCCATCCACTTCACCGGCAGGCGACCCTGTGGGAGCAAAGCCCCTGCTCAGCCCTGGTGGGGGGTCCCTGTCTGCCCCCCACCCCTCTCCCAGGCCCTCCCACTCACGTTACTGGTTTTCTTGTAGTAGTCGATGTCATGGACATCTCTGGCCAAGCCGAAGTCAGCGATCTTCATCACGCTCTCTGCAGTGACCAGCACATTGCGGGCAGCCAGGTCACGGTGGATGCACTGCCAGAGAAGGGGAGCGTCACCCACAGCGGGGGTGAGATGGTGGCTCCAGCTCCGCATGTCCCCTCCCCACACCCAGAGCCACACAACCCCAGCACCACTGGTCCCCCAGCACCTATGCGGTAGTGGGGCCACCCTGCCACCAGTCTGGCTGCAGTTACAGGCACAGTGCTGTGGGGGGGACATCTAGGAGGGGGGTCAGGCTTTATCGCCCACATTTTTGAGTGGATACTGCCCCAAGCTTTGCTGGATGTGGCTGGGAGGTTCTGGACAGCCTGGGGGAAGGGGCTGGGCTCCCTCTCACCACTCAGAGAGGGGACAGTGGGAGGACACAGCTCCCCCATCCCCACCTTGTCTTCCCTGGGGCTGCGGCGAGCACAGGCAGCCCACGCAGGCCGTGCCAGCCCTACCCGTTTGGACTCCAGGTACTCCATGCCACGGGCCACCTGGTAGACGCAGGAGACCAGGTCCTTGAAGGAGAGCTGCTCCTCGGGCATCGCCGTGACGTCAAACGCATAGTCGGGTGTTGGGGGGCGGCGGGCACGCAGGTATTCGCGCAGGTTGCCCTTCGCAGCAAACTCCACGATGACGTACAGCGGCCCTGGGAAGGGCATCCACTCTGCTCATCCCCTGCCCTGCCCTGTCCCACCCCAGTGTCCCACCTGCCACTGTTCCAACAGCCACATCCGCTGCTTTGTGCCCGCACCCTGCCCAAGCCCTGCTGCACAGCCCCTCACCATCCTGCGTGCAAACCCCCAGGAGGTTGATGATGTTCTTGTGCTTGTCCATGAGCTTCATCATCTCCATCTCGGATATGAGGTCAGCCAGGTCCTTGTCGGTGGCGTTGTCTGGGGAAGGAGGGCTGTGTCACCGTGCTAGCTGGGGTGGCACTGCAGCCTGGCACTGATGCCACCTCTGTGCTGGCAGGGGCACCATTACCTTTCAACATTTTGACAGCCACAGTGACGGCTCTGTCTGGCCGGTCTCTGTCGATGCCGTAAGCCTCTGCCCGCACCACCTGGCCAAAGCAGCCTTCCCCCAGGGGCTTGCCCAGCACCAGCCTGGCAGGGACAGGCAGAATGAGGGACCACAGGGATGGCCCTACTCCCTGCCACCCCATGGCCAGACCCAGAGGGGCAGAGGTGGTGTGGCTGCCCCTCTCTGGTCCGAGCCCAGTCCCAGCGCCCCAGGGTATGGCAGTTCTGACATGTCCGCTGGTGGCCAGAGACCCCCCCACCCAGCACCCATGTGCTGCCATCCCTGGAGCAGCTGAGAGAAGCCCCCAGGCCCCGACCTGCCCCATGCGGCACCGTACTTGTCTCGGGGGAACTCCCACTTGGCGTCGAGGGGCAGGTCCAGCTCCATGACCCCAGCCAGCATCGGGGCACAGCTGGAGGAGAGACGGGTGACGCGCATCAGGGACGTGCTGGACTTCCCAGAGGAGCTGGAGTCCAGGGAGAACTGCAGAGAGAGCCCAGGAGACCTCAGCCATCCCTCCCCGTCCTCCAGGGCCAAACAGAGACCCAACGGTGCTGCAGAGA